TTAATTTTTGCAGTTTGCTCTTGTTGTTCACTTGATCTTAGTGCTTCTCAGACTTCCATGTGGCATAAGAACTTGGATAGCCTATTAAAATGCAGGTTCTGATTCTGAGTTCTGAGGTGGAGTCTGATGGTCCACATTTCCGACAAGCTCTCAAGGTTGCTGAAGCTGCTAACCAGTGGACCGTACTTTGAGTAAGATGAAGGTCTAGCAAACATAGCCATCTCCCAATTTCCTTCTGATAAAGACTTACACCTTCCACTGCCCAGATATACTGATACGACTTCCATCAAGACAGTGAAAAATAAATTAAAGAATGATTAGAGACCGGAGAGAGCTCTTAGTGCAGAGAACGCATCTATAGTCCCAACGTAAAGTGGTCCATGCTCCAAATAGGGAAGATGGCAGGAAGAGGCAGTCAGAGGAACACTTGATCAGAAAATTAAAGCAAGTCTCGAACTTGTTGACCAAAGATTGTACAGAACAAAGCCTGAGCATATGCTATTCATTGACTCAACAAATACTGGAAAGGGAGGAGCCACTTGTTGTGCTGCTATGAGTTAAGCCACCACCTGCAATGCCAGCATCTCATGTTGGAGTGCTGCCACCCACATGGGAGACCTGGATGAAGTTCCAGGCTCCTGGCTTCAGCCATTGTGGCCATTTGGGGAGTGAAAATCAGTGAATGAATGGAAGATATCTCTCTTTCTCCCTCTCTCTCTCTCTGCCCTACCCCGTGTATGTCACTTTGCCTATCAAACAAATAAAACGAATCTTAAAAAATATTGGAAGAGGAGTAGGTAAGTAGGAAAGGAAGCATAGAATCCACTTGGACATGTTGGACATCTGTGGGCACATTAGGTTTTAGGTACCTGTAGGTTGTCCAACTGAAGATGTCCAGCAGCCATTTGAATATTTGGGTCTGGAGCTCAGCAGAGAGGTCTGTGCTAAATGCTAAAATGTGGAGGGTGCCTGCATACTGAAGTCATCATAAATGCAGCTGAGATTGTCCAGAGGAAGATGGAGAAGGCACCAGAGCTATGTGGGTAGTTGGATGCATGCACACACCCACCCATGCCTGTCTTATGTCCAACTACTATAGTAACCTATTCTTTTTTTCTTTTTTTTTTTTTTTTTGACAGGCAGAGTGGACCATGAGAGAGACAGAGAAGAAAGGTCTTCCTTTGCTGTTGGTTCACCCTCCAATGGCCGCCAAAGCCAGCACGCTGCGGCCGGCACACCACGTTGATCTGAAGGCAGGAGCCAGGTGCTTCTCCTGGTCTCCCATGGGGTGCAGGGCCCAAGCACTTAACCTATTCTTTACACCTTTCTCTCCCCAGACTAACCCAACCAGGGGATTCTTTTGGGATGGACATCTGGAAAGGTGCTTAGATATCCATTTGGTGAAAAAAAAAATGAGGATTTTGGAAGCAGTTAAATCTGGATTTGAACTTCAGCTCTGTTAACTACTAACTGTGTGACCTCAAGCACAATGAGTCACTTCTCAGAGCCTCCATTTTGTTATCTATATAATTATAGCAGTGGTAGCTATACAGCTGGACAGATGGGGACACTATATGATACTCATATACTTATGATGTGCTTCCTGGCATCTAGTAGGTGCTCAGGAAATCAGATTTCCCTTCTACCTTCTCTCCCCATTAATACTCCTAGGCCAGGAATTAAATGGTTCTTGGTGGTAACACTGTTGGATAGTAATTATTTTCAATTCCTCTTCTTGTGATCTATATTCCATGGAGGCCAGGATACTTGACCTACCCAAAGAAGGTTTTTTCCATCATCTTTCTTTGTATCATGTGTCTCTGTTTTGCCACATCTGCAGACTAGTATCTGCTCCTTAAAACTATGACTGTCTGACATCCCCAAATGCCATAACCCATCATAAATATTCATTAAGACACTTACATATGAGCAATTACAGGCTCATAAATGCTAAAAAAAATAAACTTGCCCAACATCACATTATGCCTTAAATTTGGGGACCCACAGTTAAGTGACTGTTCACTATTCAGTGACACTTGAAGTTCTCACTTGAGCAAAATTCTGTTTTATTTTAATTTTAATTCTGTTTCTGTCAAGCTAAAGTTTGTGGTTTACAAATGAATCCAAATGGCTTCTGCATTTGCTGAGCTCATTTTCTATCTGTCCAAGGACAGAGCTCTGCCCAGGAGTCTTTGCAGTGATGCGACTGTGAGCAAGTTTTCCCTGGGGTCTACCAGGGTCAAGGCTGTTGTTCCTGGCTTTGTGCTCACTCTTGTGATAACAGCCTCCTAAGGACAAAGCTCTAGTCCAAGGGGTTGATACTGCATTACGCTCTTGAGAACTAGAAAGCAATTCATGGTGACAAGAAAAAAAAAAAAACATGATATTAGGAATAAGTGGTGCAGCTCCTTTCTCAACTGCATTCTCCTTCTCTCTTCCCCCACACTCTTAGTTGTCCTCATCTACTCTAGAGCTGAGCAGAGACTCCACCTGCCCATCAGACATCCTGGCACCATTATCGCCAGTCAGCATCCTTATAATATCTGATTCCATAAACAGTTGCATGCCCCTAGTAACAGACTTCTGTATCCTAGAACTTTTCATTAAGTAGGAAGACAAAGAAACTGATTCAGAGCACATGGTTTAACTTTAATAGCATTTGACCCAAGCACCAGTTCATAAATGGGAAGCAGATACAGAATGTTTGCTTATTAATAATGCATCAGCTATAATTACTAGGCTACCACAAAGTCAGCACACACACCCAACTCCTTAGTCTCTACTACATCCTGCCTTCTACCCTTAAACAGCACAGAAGAATTTGCAAAGGCCTAGGCAGTCCTCCCCAAATGTTAAGAAGCAAGCAGTCTGCAGATCCCCACAACAATTTAATAAATTTTGTAGTTACAAATGAGTGCGGTTATTGCTGTCTTCTCCATTAAGCTGTGAATTCTTTGAAGACAAGGTTGAAGCCTTTTTAGTTCACAGTGAAACTCAATTTTTATATAGCACCAGTAAATGAATGAAACAAGCACACGGGAAAAATGGAGCTCCTTTCTACCTCGTCTATCCTATCCTGCCACTCAGCTACAAGGCATGCTGGGAGCCAGAGGGCAGAATGACTGGGAAGACCGAGGCTTTGGTAACTAAAGTAGCATAGTGGTCTGACTGGTATGAAGGTCAGCAGCCAGATTCATGTGACCTGAATGGACTTGCAAGCCATCCCTCCCTAACCATCCAAGTTGACAGTCTCCAGAGTAGATTCACAGTGACAACAGCTGGTACCAGATATTTCAACAGAGGTCCATGTCAATGCTGACGGCACACACACAACATATATACATGATCTAGTTTTACCAATGTCCATCACAGCATGCACAATCTACCTTTGCCCAAATAATTGAACTTGATCTATTTCCCAGAATCAGCAACTAGGGTTACACCAATGAGTACCACCCAATCAAAATCCCATTTATCCTGAGCAGAAGCTAATCAAAGTTTGACTCATCTTGCCATCTGTACCAAAAGCTCTCCATTCCCAAATAGCAGCCAGTGTGGAATGAAGTAGAATAAAAACCAGAAGAAAAATGAGATTTGGGGGGGTCCAAGTAGGAGGAAGCTTTAGCACACTCTGCTGGGTGTCCTACCCAGGATTTCTCATCCCAGGCCATATCAGTATTGATCCTTAGCTGCCATCACTAGCAGTGCTTTGCATGGGGGCTTTCACTTGCTACCAAAGCTCATTTTTGCCCATCTAACTGGTAGGCCAGAAGATGCTAAGAAGTTAATACTTCCTTACCCTCTAAGTAGTCCTGAATTGATGAAGTTGGTATATAAATATCCCATTTCTTTCACCTTTCAGGTAGGACAGCTCTGAGGTGGTTCCTCCCCAGTTCCCAGGCACTCCCCACTGGGTTAGGTTGCAGTCACCACAAGGTTGATAATGCACCTTTTACAAGCTGCCTTTCTTTCTCAGCTACACTTCCCTGCTCCCACTCCATGCCTCCTGGAGTCAACCCTCAAACTTGAATCTCTGCCTCAGGTTCTCCTTCTAGACAAACCTAAGCTAATAAGAGTAAAGGCCTTGAGAGGGGCAACAGAGGGTTAGCTTTGGGGATGCTAAATGGCATTTGGGGTGTCAGTAGAATAGACTACAGGAGATGAGAAGAGGAAATGAGGGAAGAGTCTGGGGACCACCCGGAGGGTCTTCCTGTACCAGGCTGAGGAGTCTAGTTTCAAACAAAGGACAGATATCCATGTGGGAATGACTCCTAGGGGAGGAAGGGACCCAGCATTGTCTACTGTGGCTCCTGTGCAATATTTAAATGCCATCCACAGCATCCTCATGGCCACTTGGAAGCTCCCAGTACATTTAGAGCTCACTGTCTTATCAAGCTACTTATATCAGCCAGCTTTAGCCAATATTAACTTCTGGAAGGTTCTAGAAATATCTCCCTCTTTCTTAGAAGGATCTAATTGTTCTCTTATTTGAAAGTTCTTTTTTTAACTTTTATTTAACAAATATAAATTTCCAAAGTACAGCTTATAGATTACAGTGGCTTTTCCCCCCAATAACTTCCCTCCCACCCGCCGTATATGAACTAGGCCTCCTCCCTGACTCTTCTCTTCACCAGGCTCAATCTCTCCAGGTCCTTCCTCTACTCATTGCTTGCTCCTACCCCATCCCAGACTCTGTCTTCCTCATGGACTCATGGGTGGCAAGGGCCCAAGCACTTGAGCCCTCCTCAGCTGCTTCCCCAGGCCCATTAGCAGGGAGTTATGTTGGAAGTGAAACCACTGAGACTTGAACCGGCACCCTGATACAGGTGTAACCTGTTACACCATAGCACCAGCTCAAGAATTTATATTCTAAAGCAGGAGTCAGCAATTACTGCAAATCTGGGCTGCTACTTGTTTTTTTTTTTTAATAAAGTTTTATTAGAACACAGCCATGCCCTTTATTTTGTTTACACATGGGATGTCTGTTTCTACACTAGGACAACAGAGTTAAGGCAGAGACTGCCTGGCCCACAAAGTAGCAAATATTTATTCTCTACTCATTTAACAGAAAAAAAAAAATGCTGGTCCCCATTCTGGAACACCAACAAGAATGGTAGGCACTGGAGATTTGACAGTGATAAGACAAAGTCCCTCTTCAACTAGAGCTGTGTTCTAGAAGCCTTACTATGTACCAGGCAATGCTTGGAAAACTAAAGATTCTGCAAAGAACAAAGAATCTTCCCTCGTGGAATATTCTAGAGGGTTCATTATGTGCCATGCTTCATGGGACAGAAGTTCTGGGACAGAAGTGAACCAGACTGACAAAATGCTTACATCCATGGATTTCCCAGTCTGATCTGAAATGAGGCAATCAACAAATAAACAAAACAAACTTTGGATTATAACAGAGCTATGGAAATGCAAGCAGGAGCTGAGATGTCCTGGCATGGGCTGCCATTCAATGTCTCCACAATACTCTTCTTGCAGTTGTCTGAGATACACATGGAAGCCCTGATGCGGGTGTGATCCTGTGAAACTCCATCTAGTTGGGTTGGGCTTTTGGTCCCAGGCTACTGAAATGTGAATGAGGACAGAGGCAGTGCTACCAACCTCATTGTCCTCTCCAGCCTTGACCCCCAAGCCCTAGGGAGGCAGTGCCTACAGATGTACAACACACCTTGTGTATCCTTTTATCCTTTCAAAAAAAGTACAGCCAGATGGGCATGGATGTCTAACACTTTAAGAGAATCTTTAGCGCTTTGTTTAACTAAAGTATTTTTCCACACAAGTTCCTCTGCTCAAGCATTTCTTCTAATTACCATTTTCCTTTTACAATGCATTGCATAGAGCTGCACAGAAGTAAGCTCATGGTGCGCAAGAACCCCCAGGGTGGCAAGGAAAATAAGGCCTGGCTATTAGAGGGCTCCATGAAGCGGTATGTGTTACATCTTCCTGGCAGGAGGGAGAAATGGCCCAGAAATTGCAGCACACTAGGCCAGACCCAGCTCAGTAGGACCTGGCTCTGAGATGGCTCTGTAAGGTTGGGAAATACCATTGACTTTGTGGGGGTTGTAGGAGCTCTATCAAGAAGTCCAGAATGTACCATAAATTTTAAGTTAGTCTGTGGGTTAAAGCACAACTGACTGTTTCACTGCATTCTGGTTTCCTCATATTTACTTTGTGTTCATTCATCAAAATACATAGGGAATGCCTACTTTGAGGATTGGATATGTCAAGCACTTACGTGTGGAGTACACATATGCAAGCACTTAGAATGATGCTTAGAAAACAGTATGCTCTCAATAAATGCTTGGTTATTATTATTATTTTGTGATATTCAGGCACTGTATTCATGTGTTCATTCACTCATCCGTTCCATCTTCCAGCAACATTGGCTATGTGAGGGTCAATAAAATCTGAGACTACTGGAAACACAAAGAAGATGAAGATAGACACAACACATCCAGGAATGAGATGCAGGATAAGGCGGGGGAGAGGTGAAGGATCACTTGCTTGCTGTTCATTGAGAAGTCTGCATGGGAAAGTGTTGGGCTGTGAGCTGGATTGGAAGCATGGTAAGTAGAGACAATTGAGTATATATTCCTGGGACTCAGGAAGGAGCCTGGAGTATCCTGCTCAGTCCTAGGTGGTGGCACAGAGGAGGTTTGATACTCAAAGGAGACCAGGGAGGGGTTATTAGAGTCCTGAGATGTTATCACAGAGCAGCTTATATCATCATATTGCTGAAAAACAAAGACAGTGGTCACTCTTGGGCCTCTTCCTGAGAAGCAGATAGAATCCATATGATGGGCCAAATTTAGTTCATTTATGTAGATAGATAGATAGATAGATAGATAGATAGATATGTGTGTGTGTGTGTATAGAGGCTAGACAGAGAGGAGGAAAGAAAGAAGAGACTGTCCCCAAGCTCAACTGATGAGTTTTTTACTACAATGGTGCAAATGCAATATGTATTCAGTAGAAATATTTCAAGTTTTAGATTTTGGATTTTGGTCTTTTCCCAGCCTAGCAATGCGCAGTGCCATACTTTCCTGCAACACCGTGCAGGGGCAACACAGCACAGTTCCCTGTCAGATGTGCAATCACAAGGGGAAACAACAGACTCTACAGTGTGCAGGGTCACTAAGCCGCAATATTCAGCAGGTTAGGAGTGTTCAACGCATTTGTTACTTACCATGATATTTCAATTTATGATCTATCTATCTATATACCTATCTATTATCAGGACATATCCCACAATATTTATATATATCCCAGCTGTACTGTGCATCCGTAACTCATATCATCACTGCAAGCTCTGATTAGCTAACATTATTCAATTTTACAGATAAAGACGATGAGACAGAGAGGTCAGTAACTTACTTGTGGTCTCACAGCTATTAAGTGACAAAGGTGGGATTCAAACCCAGGCAGTCTGACCCCAGGGCCCTTGCTCGTAACTGCTGTTTTTGCTGCTTCCCCATACTAGTGCAGCTCTGGCACTGGCCTGGAGAAATGTCCCTATCCCTGTGCTGAGAGCTGGTTAGCCTCCCAGGAGGGCTCAAGTCATCCCTGTCAAGGCTCCTTGCAGCCCCACTCCTAGACACCCCTCCTCTGTGTGTCCCCTCCTCACACAGAAACCTAGCCCCTGCACCCAGCCTTCACTCTCTGCCTGCCTGCTCACAAGAGGGGCCCAAGATAGTCCCAGGGCCCCCTGGCACAGCAGCAGGGATGGGAGTCTTGGCAACAGGATGTTGGCTCAGACTGTTTCAGTGTGGGCGCCTCCTCCAGCTTTATTAGTCGTCTTTTAAAATAGACTTTTCTATTTCAAACACCTCCACTTACCACTTGCTGCTCATCTCTCCGCACATCCACTGTGCTTCCCTGTCATCAGAATATGCGTGGAATATCACAGACTGCAAAATAGCAGCCTCTTGAAAGAGATTTTTCTTTTCCTCTTCTCATTATGTCACTTTCCAGCTGGCCTTCTTCATTTTGCAAGGTGAGCCTCCGATTACTGATCATTAACCATTAATTTCCACGTGGGGTCACACTTATGGAATCAAGGCAGGAAGGGTCTTCAGCTGATCATGCAGGTCCACACGAAACAAGCAGATCTCTGAGAGGGAGCAGAGATTGCCTGAGGTCACATGGCCTATTGGTGGCTGAGCTGGGATTGAAACATAAACCTGTTATCATTACCTTGTGGGGATTTAATGATAGCTGTAATAGTAATTCATATTTATCACGCCATAAAAGTTTACAAAGCATAAACTTTAGTTCTCGGGTCTCTGTGCTCTAAGGGCTCACAAGTGCAGTAGTGCTTTTAAGGAGAGAGGACCTCTTTCTTCAAAGCCAGCTGTCACCCAGCCCACATCTGGAATTCCAAGCCACCTCTTGGTAAGATCCAAGTGCCCATGATGACATTTGAGGCCCACTGAAAGGCAATGAGTACAAATCTGACAGCCTCCTATCAACTCTGTAGCCACCCCTGAACTAAGTCTGCAGCCAGACTCTTCTCTTTCCCCAGACACCTTCTCTCTCCTGTTGTCATCGGCTGTGTTTTCCTTTGGGGTAGGAGGAGAGTCCTTGACTTTCCCTACAAAACAATGAAATGTCTTCCCAGTGGAGATTTAGCAATGATGAACATCAACACTGCAAGCCCACAGAAAGTGTTTCAGCCAACCCTCTGATGTTATGGGTGGGTTAGTTGAGTCCTAGGGAGGACAGTGACTTGCCCAAGATCATGCTGTTTTGAGATAAGAAATGATGCCTGAATCAGCTGTCTATTTTAACCCTAGATTCTAGACACCCAACATCATTCCCTAGCTAAGTGCTGCCTTAAATGTGGCTTGTCTTCTCATCTTGTTAAATAAAAATTATCCCATGGGGGGCTAAAAATAGGATTGTAAGACAGTAGCAACTCATGCACATCACTCCTCCATTGTCCAACTTCATGGTCCTCAATCCTGGCTGCACACCAGAGTCCTCCATGATATTTTGTAAATACTCGGGTCCCCAGACTCTATCACAGATAGAACGAGTCAACATACCAGGGCCTGGGGCTGCAAAGATGATTCTAATGAGCAGCCAAGAATGGGAAAGACTGGTCCACCTGAGGGCCAAGAATCACAAAAGTAGATTTGAGCCATTGTGATTGAAATGAAATATAACTAATTGTATTTTCCAGCTTTAAACAGTTAATTCTAATACAATTAAAACAAGAATCTAAGAGAATGCAAAAGCTTTCTCTCCAGAGAAGCTTTCTGAATCATACCCAACACTGGGAAGGCAAGCTTGAAACTTTTCCACTCATCTCTGCTTGCCAAAGAACCATGAGGTCAGGCCGGCGCCGCGGCTCACTAGGCTAATCCTTGCCTAGCGGCGCCAGCACACAGGGTTCTAGTCCCAGTCGGGGCGCCGGATTCTGTCCCGGTTGCCCCTCTTCCAGGCCAGCTCTCTGCTGTGGCCCGGGAGTGCAGTGGAGGATGGCCCAAGTGCTTGGGCCCTGCACCCCATGGGAGACCAGGATAAGTACCTGGCTCCTGCCATTGGATCAGCGGGTGCGCCGGCTGCAGCGCGCCAGCTGTGGTGGCCATTGGAGGGTGAACCGACGGCAAAGGAAGACCTTTCTCTCTGTCTGTCTCTCTCACTGTCCACTCTGCCTGTCAAAAAAAAAAAAAAACCTGAGATCAGGCACCCATGAAGCATTGATGAGTCCCACTAGTGAAGATGGTGGATGCCCAGGTTTGTAAAAGATCATCTTCTTTTCATATTGAAAATGATGGAAAATAGGGGGTCAATAATAAGAGATACAAGTCACAATCTGAGTCTTCCCAGGAGGTCTTTTAATATTTCTAGTTTCCCCTTCTAACATCAACCCCAACCTCAGATCAAGCATGATGTTTAAGTCCCCAAATCTAAGTTCCTGTGAAGGACAGTAAGTTCCTGCAGAAGCTAGGCAGGCACAACAATGCATAAACTAGAAGGCTTCCTATGAGACTCATAACAGCTGAGCTCTGGACTTCATTCCCCTCACCCAGACACTCATTCCTGATGCACGGCTGAGTGGAGACGAGGCTGCAAGGAACACAAGAGCATCCGTGAAAGTGAGCGCTCAGCAACAAAATGTGCTGCCTGATGAGAGAAGAGAAGGTGTAGAGGCTGTTTCTGCGAAAGCTGAGAAGGTTAATAAAAATCAGGGGTTTTGTTTTTCATGTGTTTTAAGAAATATGAGGCAGTAAATGTTCACGTTTCCCCTGAAATGAAAAGTTGCACCTGTTCTGCCTGGGTGAGAGAAGAAAGGTGGAAATTAGCATCGGTTGAGGGTTGAATGCTTTTCTGGCTCTGCTTTATGCTCATAGCTTTCACATTCATCACCTGCTCCCGATTCAACCCTCAGCCAAACTACACTGATAAGTAGTTCTATATAATTATCACCAATTTTAAGGATAAAAAGTTTCATGTTTGGAGTGGTCAGGACCCTCCCAAGATTGTGCAAGCTAGGAGTAGGTGCAGCTGAATTTCAGACCAAGCCCCTTTTATTCCAAGTAGGGGTGAGAAGTCTTTTTCACTGGAGACAGCTCTGCAAGGTTTCAAAGAAAAGCCAAGACGGGGTAAGAGGGACTTCCTTTATCCATTTTTTTGTGAGAGCCCTGGACACCTGGCTATCAGGCTAGGATATTAGATTGGCACTTTCTCTAGCTCAGATATTAGAAATATATTGGCTTTTAGCATTTCCAACTGATGAAATAAAGCCAGACCCATATTAAAGAAATCATGCTCTTCCCCAAACACTTCTCTTCTGCAATCATTTACCCTTCCCACGTGTCATTATTTTAAATTCTCAAATTGACTTTTTTACCCTCCTCTGAATTCTTCACCCTTCCTTCTGCAGGATGCCAAGAGTTTCTCCCTTCTGCTCTGACAGTTCCACCTGCCAATACCTTGGGGTAACAAGGGGTGCTGTCCAATGAAAGGATGAGAGGCTGAGCCCAACACAATAGATGACTGGTCTGGAAACTAGGAGACTGAGAAGAGGCAAAATAAGCAGAACCAGACATGGGCCAAAGGCTTTATATCCATCAGGTCATTGGATTCTCATGATAAATATTGGAATATTGTCCTCCATTTCACAGATGAAAGAACTGAGGCATAGGTGAATTAAATAATTTGGCTGAAAGCATATCAGTAAGGGTCCTGACAGGAACACAGTGTTATGCTCAAATTGGGTAACTGAAGGACTCTAGAGAGACCATTTACAAAGGTGTGGGCAGGATGTAGGAGAACCACATGGAATGACACAGAGCCGCAGGGACAGGCAAGTGCTTCACCTATCATAGTCTAGAATAAGCAAAGGGAGGGGGTAGTTACTGGAACCTGGAGAGACAGTGCTGTATGAGGAGGGTCCCCTGATAGGAGCAAAGATCCTCTGGAGATTGGGGAGGCAGGAAGGGGAGGAAAGACCCCGAACTCATTCTCCTCTTTCCCTTGGATCTCCTGCTGGTGCTCTCCAGCTGAACCCATCTGGAATCCAGAGGGAAGGGAACCTGCTGATGCTATCCAGACAGTCAGCATCCAGACAGACCTGAGTGGGTAAGGGTAGATGTTGGAGCCCCAGAAGCAAACAAAAGAAACCCAGCCTCCCACTTTTTTTTTTTTTGATGTATCTTTACATTTATTTGAGTTGTCTTCAATTCCTTTCATCAGGCCAAAGTACAGCTTATGGGGCTTCCCCCCCATAACGTCCCTTCCACCCGCAACCCTCCCCTTTCCCACTCCCTCTCCCCTTCCATTCACGTCAAGATTCATTTTCAATTCTCTTTATATAAAGAAGATCAGTTTAGCATACATTAAGTAAAGATTTCAACAGTTTGCTGCCACACAGAAACATAAAGTGAAAAATACTGTTTGAGTACTAGTTATAGCATTAAATCTCAATGTACAGCACACTAAGGACAAAGATCCTACATGAGGAGTAAGTGCACAGTGACTCCTGTTGTTGACTTAACAAATTGACACTCTTGTTTATGGCCTCAGTAATCACCCTAGGCTCTTGTCATGAGCTGCCAAGGCCACCCTCCCACTTTTGTGGAACGACAAAGCCATGAGGAACATGGTCAGGCTGATGGTTCAGGTCCGGGAGGTGGGCTTCAGGCTCCAGCTGGTCATGGAAAGCCCCTGAGGTGAAACCGGTGTGCCAAGAGGCTCCTTCCAAGGACCCAGAGCGCACCTCGTGGTTGTGACTCCCACTGTATCAGGTATCAGTTCAGTTCTCTGGTCAGCACCTGAGACCTGCTCCTCCTGCCGTCCTTGCTACAGGCTTGCCTCCCAAGAACATGGTAGTTACATTTCTCCTGTATTTCTCCATTAAGAAACCAAAATCATCATCCCTTTTAGTTTAATTTCTTAAGTGTTTCTGCTCTTGCAACTAAAGGAATACCGGTAGTACTCTAAAAATATTTATTAACTTAATAAATACTGAATGGAATGACCTTAGTCAGTTTTAAGTTCTCTGAGCTTCTCTTCTTTATTCAATGAAAAATGTAATAATATGCTTTTACCTTTCTCCCAAGGTTTATAAATGTGCTTATAAATATCAAAAAAATCATGATATCCAAACTTGCCATTTTGTTAACCAAATCAACCCATGTACTGAGCAAATGTTCCTTAAATATAGAACACATTCAATAAAGTCTAATGTGTTTGCCACAGTAAAAAAAAAAAGTGCCTTCCTTAATGAAGTGATATGAAAAATGAATATGTTAATGGTTAGCATGGGGCCTGGCGCATATCAAGAGCTCAAAAATTATTAACAATTATCATTATTATCATCCTCCCTAACAAATATTTATTGAGCTTCAAGCTTTAAGCTGGAAGGAGAATTGTCTGTGAGGCTGGAGCTTCTGATAAATGCCTTGCAGAGATGCACTAGTGATTCTGGCCAAATACAAGGAGATGTGCTAATGGGCAAGTACAACATGTCTGATGAGGGACTCAAGGCCCAGCCATCAATCAATAGGAAGCCTGAGGCTGAGAACAGACAGTTAAAAGCAGCAATTACAAAATGTAACTCAAATATATGTGAACTTGGAGGAGTCCAATGGCAAAGGATAGATCCCCAGCTGTGAGTGAGGAATGTTGGTCTAAAGAAAACAGTAATCATGGAGTTCAGCCAACATTCCACCTGGAAATGCGGAGCCAAGCAGTCCCCTCCCCTCACCCCCGACCCCCAGCCCACAGCAGAAAGATAAAGTGTTGCTGGGCATTTCACATAAGCAGCTCTGCAAGCAGTACTAGCAGAAGTCATAGAAGTTGCAGCATTTGTATGGATCATTGCAGGAGCAAATAGGAACAGACTGAGCTAAAGCAGTAAAAGTAAGTCGGCAAGAATTTTCAGATGCAGCACTCTAAGAACTGTTACCACACAGGCTGAGGTGTCTGCAGATGGTTCGTGCATGGTCCTTCTGTAAGGAAGCAGGTGTCAATAACCTCAGCAGACAGGTAAGGTCGGCAGGGAGACGTTTCTCTCTATGAAGGATCACCTCTGGGGACAGAGGTGCTATGCTCTGCATTAGCCTACCAGTCAGCTAAACCAAAAGTAAAGTAGGGCCATAAGGGAGTGGGTCCAAATTACACACCAGTGTGAAAGGTTTGGGAGTGCAGATGAGGATCAAGTTCCAGACCTCAAGCGTGTCAAGGAGTGGGACAATGTCTGAGCCAAAGAATGGACCACATGTCTAAAGTCTTCTGGTTCCTGCAACCACAGGCAGCACCAGGCTAGAAGATAAAGGGGCAGGGAGCAAACAGTGACCAGTCTGATGTGTTCCAGTGTGGACCATTGCATGTGTTCATTTATTCATGCAGCAAATATTTATTGATTGCCTACATGGTGCCAGCTAGTATTTGAGACAATGAATATACAGCCATGAAGAAAACCAACAAGCTTTCTGTCCTCTTGGAGTTTACATTCTAGTGATGAGAGAGAGAGATACAAGCATATAAACTAGTAAGTATATAACCAGGTAAGGACAGCTACTGAATCAAGAAGGAAGGAAGAGATAGGGGAGAAGGGGAGAGGGAGGGAGGGAGGAAGAAGAGGGAGCAGGTATCAGGACAGAGACTGATGAGAAAGTGAAATAGAATTAGAAAGGCTCCAGACTCCCTCCTTCTGCTTCTGACACAACTTCACCCACAAGAAAAGGAAACATTACAATAGGTAATGCTACACTCGAAGGCATTGATTGGGCCTCACCCTCTATGGGGAAATCGCTTCATTATCAAATGGGTGGGGTTTTTCCTCTCCTTTCTCTCTTCTACCCAAGAAACAGGAATAGAAAACCCAGGACCCACACTCTCAGAGAAGATCAACTGGCCTTTCCTCTCTTCTATTAGGCAGCAGGCTGCTCCATTAGGCAGGGCTTGCTTGGTCAGAACCTGTCTGACTATCTCCTGGTCACTCCTCCTCTTTTCTACATGTAACCCTGGAGTAGAGATGACGCATTAAGCTTTGTGAATGTAATAAGATGGGTGGGGACTGAGGGACAACTGGAAGTAAGGACAGCACTGATGCTCTACTTCCACCTGACTCAACCAGCTTAGGAAAAGCGATGTCCCATGTGGCCCAGCCCAGTTCATCAGTTATTCTGTACTTTGGGTTTGAGAGCCCAAACTTAGTTAACAATAAAATGGCAATTACCCACTTGTCACTTGGTGTATCACTCAGCTATTTTTGCCCAACAAACAACCTCAAATCTCAGAAGGCTACAACAATTAGCATTTATTTATTTTGCTTATGCATTTGTGGGCTGGCTTGAGGTTCTGCTGATCACTGGGTGAGAATGGGCAACTGCAGACTGAAGGTCAGTACAGGTCTGCTCCAAGGTCCCCAGGGTCTCCAGGGTCTCTCATCTCCCTCATACCATCAGCTTAACCGTATTCTTTTCAGATGATAGCCGAACAAGAGGAGAACAAAAACACCCAAGACTGCTACAACTCAGGCTTAAAGTGGCATACTGTGGAGTTTCTACTCAAATTCCTTTGAGCCAAAACAAATTACATGACTGACTCCTAACTCAGAGATCAAGGACCTGCATCTGCCTTTTGTGAGAAACCTGTGAAGGTGTAGATGTAACGAGGGGTGAAGAAATGGGGCCAGTTGATCCT